GGCAAAATTTCGCCATCTTCTTCAGGCTCTAAATCCTGCTAAATCCGCTGGGATGAATGATATTCACCCTAAGCTTCTGTACGAACTCGCAAGCGAGCTATGTGGCCCAGTGACGTGTTTGTTTCACTTGTCGCTTCGCAGCTGCTCCTTTCCTAAGGACTGGAAAGATGCTATCGTTTGCCCGATTGTTAAAAAGAGCAACAAGCATCTTCCTGCCAATTATAGACCAGTAAGTTTGACAAGCGTACTGGTCAAGCTATTGGAGAAGTTTGTCAGTGATGTGCTTGAAGACCACTTGCGGGAGTATGGTCTGCTCAGTCCACTGCAACACGGCTTTCGCAAGGGTCATTCCTGTATGACTAATTTGCTAGTTGCACGCGAATGTTGGGCGGATGCTTTGGATCGGGGTCATGCAGTAAATGTGGTGTTTATTGGTTTCTCCAAGGCGTTCGACACTGTATCACATTCTCGCCTTTCCTTGAAACTTCGGTCCTATGGAATATCCGGGGGTGTACTAAAATGGATCACCACGTTTCTGGAAGGGAGAGAGATGTGCGTTCGTGTCGAGTCTAGGCTGTCTTTCCGACGGTCAGTCCTCAGTGGGGTCCCTCAGGGTTCGGTGCTTGGCCCGTTCTTATTTTCCTTGTATGTCAACGAGCTGTCCGAACTGCTGGAGGTACCATCTCTCATGTTTGCAGATGACCTAAAGTTTTGGCACATAGTGTCTGACTTCGATGGACCCCAGACTCTGCAACGGGCCCTCGATAAACTTTGTGACTGGGCTGCTATGTGGCAGTTGCCCATAAACTATGCAAAGTGTTCCATCTTACGAGTAGAGCCAAATAGCCCTCAAACGCGTTATTTTCTTGGCGGTAAGGAACTCCACCATGTTACCCAATTGGTAGACCTAGGGGTCACATTGTCTTCAGAACTTAAATCCGGTGAAAACTGGAGGAAAGCTACGTGCAAGGGTTTCAGAATGTTGTGGATGCTCCGCAGGGCATTCGGGACCATCACGGGCGTATTGTTTGTTAGGTTATTCTCAGCGTTTGTCGGGCCACACTTGGCATACTGCATCCAGACTTGTCCACCTTGCTTAGTAAGGGACAGGATGTCAGTGAAGAGAGTGTTGAGAGTTGGAACCAAACTGGTCCATGGACTGGGGAACCATTCTTACCCGGAAAGACTACTTGCGCTGGGAATGTTCTCGATGCCCTATCGTCAACATCGAGGTGGCCTAGTCTTGACCTATCGTATACGTACCGGTAATATCGGAAAGGACTTATCCGGGCTTTTCCAACCGGCTCGGCTTCCATCGCTCCGAGGTCACTCACTGAAGCTACACAAAACTCGATCGGATGGAGTCCGGGCGGACTTTTGTTTATCACGCCGAGTGGTGGATTCCTGGAATGCACTGCCCGAGGACATGGTATTGGCACCAACAGTGAGAGTTCGAACGCCGACTCGACGCTCTTGGCCTTCGATTCTTAACATTCCCCTTCACGTCCTAGCTTATTCGTCTTATTGCATTAGTAAATCAGGTTTTTTCTTCTTCTTGACGCTCTTATTACTTTCGTACTCCTCTTTCTTATTTCACGTGACCGGTGCGGCGGGGACGGCCAGTGCAGGTCGCTGGGTATTAATTGGTTGACCGTGATGTGATTCTCGCGCGTTGATCTGGCTCTTCTGGATTCCAGTTATGGGCTGAAGCCGTAGACAGTGGACATGCTTTGGATGTGGTGTGCATTGACTTCGCCAAGGCCTTTGACACTGTCCCCCATTCGCGACTCTCATTGAAGTTGAGGTCATATGGAATAGCTGGTCGCGCTCTCCAGTGGGTGTCAGCTTTTCTGGATGGACGGGAACAGTGTATTCGTGTGGGAAGCTGTCTTTCGTTTCGACAAGCTGTACTTAGCGGCGTTCCGCAAGGCTCTGTCCTAGGTCCGCTGCTTTTTTCTGTCTACGTGAATGACTTGCCGGAGGAGCTTGAGGTACCATCGCTCTTATTTGCTGATGATCTAAAGCTCTGGAATATTGTTGATATTCCTGGAGGTCCTGTAGCTCTTTAACGGGCTCTGGATAGACTCTGGGAATGGTCTGTCTTGTGGTTGCTGCCCATAAACCGGGCAAAGTGTTCAGTGCTGCGCATGGGAGCGTCTGCTTCCTCCACAAGTTAGGTGCTTGATGGGAGTGAACTTCCTCACGTGACTCATCAGGTTGATCTAGGTGTCGTCCACTGTACCACACTACACTCTGGCGACAACTGGAAGATGGCGGCTAGTAAAGGGTTCCGAATGTTGTGGTTTATCCGTCGTTCTTTTGAGATCCTAACCGCTGATGTGTTTGTGAAGCTTTTCTCAGCGTTTGTGCGACCCCACCTAGAATATTGCGTCCAGGCCTGTCCACCATGCCTTGTCCGGGACAAAATGGCACTAGAAAGGGTGTTGCGTGACGTTACTAGGTTGGTCAAGGGATTACGAGGGCAAACGTACCCCGAACGCCTACTTAGTTTGGGGATGCACTCAATGCACTATCGAAGGATTAGAGGGGACCTAATCCTAACCTACCTTATTATGACTGGGAAGGTTGGCCCCGATTCGTCCATGCTAATTAGTCCTGCTAGATTATCTGGTCTTCGCA